TTTAAAAAAAAATAAAATAATTTAATTAATTCAATATAAAAAATAAAAAATTTATTTAGTTTCGGTTCTTATTCGATTCTTCGGTTCTTGGTCTAGACCCAAGACCCGACCCAAACCCATCGGTTCTCGATTCGGGTACCCGTTCGGATATTTAATTTATGAAAAATCGCTCGATTGTTTGATTCGGTTCGGTTCGAGACTTTTGGACACCCCTAGTTACATATGTAATTCGTGTAGAGTTGTTTACGATTTCACAATTCACATTGATCCATAGTCTTGACCAATTTAAATATCCTCCTTGCCTACAGCCACAAATGTCATATATCATTGACAAAAAGGGTCGTCAACAAACCACCTTGGACAAACTCAAAAGTGTATGCTATTCAAAACCAGGTACTCATTTCCAAATTGTTAACCATCATCATGGGTCCGAAGCCTCGAGCCAAGTTTGATTTCAAATTACAAATTTCCAATAATTTGACTATGGCTGGTACATACACATGGGCGGAATGAGAAATGTCAAAGCAGATGTTGGATTCCTCACCTACTCATAGACTTCAACCAGTAAACAACGTAAGCTAATTAAAATTGACGAGATCTTCGGCTGTTGGTATTAAAAGAACATGCAATAACATTAAAAACCAAACCAAATCAAATCATTACTACATATCAGTCAAACATTATTTTCTGCTACAAATTTACACAATTTCTAGAGGTAGTAACACCACCATCCACAACCAGATTATGACCACTTACATATCTTGATTCATCACTTGCAAGATAAAGCGCAGCCTCTGCAATATCTTTAGCCTTCAATGTTGGACCTTTCAAATTGGCCAAACTCCTCACAAATTCCTCAGTTTTTTCCACTTCTCGTTCATGAATCTCGTCTTGTTCTTCGTCATCGTCAAATGTTCTCCAAGCGTTTATAAGCATTGAAGTAGCCACGCCGAATGGAGAAATGCAATTAACCCTAATCCCATTTCTGCCCAATTCACAAGCAGCATTTTTTGTTAGCCCAACAATGGCGTGCTTCGAAGCAGTATAAGCATGCGGACCGAGCCCGCCCATCACTCCGGCTACACTCGACATTGATATAATGCATCCAGTTCCTCTTGGAATCATTGCACGGGCCGCGTGCTTCATCCCTAGTGCCACTCCGCGCACGTTCACATTCATCACACGATCGAATTCATTAACATCAAAATCGACAATGCTTTTGTGCTTCGATTGGTTTCCAAGGACACCTGCATTGTTGAAGAGGATATCGAGCTTTCCGAAACGTGAAACTGTTGAATTGATTAAATTCTCGACGTCTTGTTCAAGGCTCACGTCGCAATGTATGAATGAAACTGAAGGGCCTAGTGAGTTTGCCAATGCATTTCCAGCTATATCCTCGACATCTGCAATGACCACTTTGGCTCCGTGCCTTGCAAAGAGTCGAACTGTTGCCTCGCCAATCCCTCTAGCTCCACCTGTCACAATTGCAATCTTTCCCTCTAACCTGTTTATGTTAAGAGTTCAGCTTTAATCCCGAGAATAAAATATACGAAATTAAGCAACACACAAGATAAATCGGGTCGTTCTCATTGTAAACCATAGACAACGAGATAAAAAAAAAAATTGTACCTTGTGATGGATGGAGAAGTGGTTTCCTTTCCCGGAAATTGAAGTTCCGAAAAGGTCATCTCAGTCATGACTTGGGCGGGCATGGTTGGATTAAGAGGGAAGAAAAATGTTGGTGTTGGGATGAAAATTGAAAAGTTTTCGCCTTTAGCAAGAAATGGAATGGAATAAATTTTTGATGAATGATAGGCGAAATTTATAGATGGGGTGAAGGATTTGGTGAGTGGGAATTACGTGGGGGACAGTGTGTGATTCAATTCTTAAAGTTCAAGGCAATTTCCTTGACAATTCCTCTTATCCAAAGGTCACTTGTCCCTCACTACTCAAACACTCACGGCCTTTACACTTTCCAACTTTGATACAGGTTTTCAACGCCATATTCATGATTAAAATTAAAAGTTGCTTAGGGCGGCTTTTGAAAAATTAAAAGTTGCATTTGAAACTAACATCTCGTTTGATGGGATTAAAATCGAATATTTAGTAGATTTTGTTAAAAATTAGTGAAACGTATGGTTAAAAAGTTGTAAATCCCATGAAATGAGTGGTTAAAATTAATTCTTGCTTTTAATCCGTACCAAACAAGGTTTAAGAAATTACATTTAAGCATGTTTCGATATTTGTAACTTATAGAGAAAGTTAGTTCAATATAACTTCTTTAATAATAATCTCTTTCATAAAAAATAGTAGATCTGCCGGTTTGGATACAATTTGTAAATTAATTTATAAATTTAATCAAAGTAAAATATTAATTTCAATTATACATTCATAATAACGAAGACTCATTATTATTTTGGAGAAGTAATATTTTTATTTATAAATTTGTCATTATCTTAGGTTTTTGACAGTTGACATGGGATTAAAAATCTTACTTCATGTATGCAATAATGAGTAGTCCTTGATACTATTCAGCAAACAAGTCACAAACAGTACTACTTTCTCTAAATTAGAATTTATGGACTAAATCCTCCCGACAGAATCCTTAATAGACTTAGCCAAGATCCAATATATGGATTCGACAGGATCAAAAGGTTAAGGTGGGTGAGAAATGTATTCATTATTGAATGATGAAAATGAAAGTATTTATTAGAAAGAAGTTTTATAGAATTTATTGTTGGTTGTGCCAGCATGCTAACAACCTGTCATTGGTATATATATATATGAGTTACGTTAGTTTTCAAGATTTGGGGAAGATCCTAGTTAGCTGGAGTATAAGATACGAGAGATCTTCCAATAAAGTAGTACATTGTTGTATATTTTTTATAAACAAAATAAAATTGGTTCAATTTATTATTGTAAATATATTTGGGGTTAACCTTATCCTCCATAGACCATAAGTGAAGCATATATCTAAAAATAATGAATGTGCCAGAGATAACAACGGAGTGAGGAATCCCCGACTCAGATGGGGTTGGAAAGGGGCTAAGAAATCAGCTCCGAATCGGGGATGGGCATCATGGTCCCCGTCCCAATGCCTACCCCGTTTAAATTTTAAAAAAAAAAATCATCGAAGACATTTTAAAGAGTGCGTCATATTCATAAATTAAAAAATAAATGGCGCCCCTTCGGGGGTAGTCGAATTGGTGGTGCAGATGAATGCGAAGATTAAATGTCACGGGTTTGAATCCCCAGTCAATACTTCTTCTGTCGAGCCCATCGCACCAGACTTACCTAGTGCGGTTTACCTATCCTGTGTAGTTTGCAAGCTACTGTACATGGAGCGAGATTTACCTAGTACGCACTCACAATGGTCGGGACTCTGCCCCTTAAGGATGGTCGGGACTCTGCTGGTGGGTAGCAGTTGCGGGTTCCTACGTAAAAAAAAAATGGGATTGAACAAGGATTAGGCCCATCCAAGCTTAATATGGACACAATGTCTTGAAAACCTCTTCACGATCACTTTTAAATGCGACGGCTAAATAATAACTTCATGCGGCAAAAAAATTCACCCTAAAAGGGAAAAATTATATTGAAGTCTTCTCAACCCTTGCCATCCTTCATTTCCACATTCCTTCATCTGTTGTCGGCAGCAAAGGAAGGGTCAAGGGTGGGGAAAGGTCTTAGTTTTAACAATTTCGTGGAAGCAAAATTCAACATCTTTTCCTCTGGCTTTTGCTTTAAGAAGTTGGAGAAAAATAAGCATCGAGTATTTGACTAGAAACGGTTGCCAGTATAATCAAATAAGGCACGTAGTTTTAGTGGACCAAGTTTATGAAGTGGTCTAACCTATCCCAAAATTTGTCAAATATCAAATATATATTGCTAGACGATCGATACATCTATTTCAGCGTCTTAACGTGTGTTTTTTTTCAAAATTAGATTTTTAAAAGGAAAACAATAAAAGAATGGCTATCTATCTTCTACTAGAAACTAGAAGGATTGATTCATGAAATTTGTTTCCAATGCAACATCTGACTATCATTTGCCTTTCATGAGTGTAATTCTCAAAATGTTATTTAATAAAAATTTATGTCGGTCTTCTGCAGCCATCAAAGAAATTGCTCTTGTTGGATCGAAATTACATTTTTTGTTCCTTTTCCAAGAGAAATAATATTTCGTGTGAATCATGCCGTCGGCAGTTATAGATATTTCAACAATTACATCCATGTTAGAGTCACATTTAAATTTTTATTCTCATTTTTCTACTCATTTCCAATCACATATTCTTCAATAAAATAATATTTTTCATCACATCAATAATTTTTCCTTCTTTTTCAACCGCACGTTCTCCATCAATCTATTATTTCGAAATACATTCTTCCAAAAAATATGGTTCAAACACACCCGTAGTATCATTCTTTAATTGTCAAATGGTCAACTTTTAAGATTTTGTCATATTCTTTAATATTGCAATAATATTAAATTTCAGATGTGTTGGAAAGCGGACAACACTCAGTTTTCTTATTTTGAGCTAAGCATTGCTTAGTTGTTCATCATCAACCAATTTTTAAGAAGCAATTAAGTCAAAAAGATAAAAAAGCTGTAACACCTTGAAATTATTGTTCTCGTCAAATGTGTCAAAATAGGTAGAAGACATCATGTAACACGATATGGACGGTGTTGTAGACTCAATTTTCCTTTGTTAAGTTCAAATGTAAAGCCATAAAGGATTCACATTTTGTCTATGTAGACATATAATATATATTTTTAAACATTTTGCAGCAAAATGAATGTAAGAAACTAAGAAAAGAATAATTGAACATAAGAAAAAATAATCCAAGTCCAGAAAGAGAGAAACTTAAACAGGAAAAAAAAAAAGGTAAAGGAAGAAGAGCATACCAATACCATAAATCAATCAATCAAAAGCGATAGAGATAAAACTTACAAGCATAGTTTTGAGAGGTGTACTAGGGGAATAGCCCGGCTTCGCCATAGGCACGTCATGTTGGAAAATATATTATCTGGCAAATGAATTTTCACTTGTATATGTGAAATTAATCCCACATTGATTGAAAATTGGGATTTGAAGAGGAGCCTTAAAAGGGATTACAATCCCACATTGGTTAGAAATGGAAAAATGGGAATATATGGGGACTATAAATAGTGTCATCCCACATT